TGCCACGTCAATGTTCCAGACAAGTTATTGCGGGACCTGCTCCCTGGACCAGTGACTCTGGTCTTGCAGCGTTCAGAAGAGCTCAATAAAGACTTGAATCCATTCACATCGGTAGGTCTTGGCTGCAGGATTGATCTTTGGGGACAGGGGGCTGGTTTTGTGTTGCTGCTGCTGTAATGTTTGTTCTTACCTGTCCCCTGAAGTGGTGCCTGTGCTGTCCTGCTGTCTGTGACTGACCTGGACATGGCCTAACCCAGCACTAAGGCCTGACTTAGTCWTGTGTTATTGCTGGTTCATCAGATGTAGATCTGTCAGTTCTCTAGATCTTCAGCTTTTAAGTCAGGAGAACTTTAGGCAATGCAAAATTAAAACCAGTTGATGTAAAACTCTCCTCTCCTTCCCTACAGCTGGTTGGTGTTCGCATTCCAAACCACCCRTTCATGAGAGACCTGGCACGAGCCTGCTCGGGGCCGCTGGCTTTGACAAGCGCCAAYATCAGCTCCCAGGGCAGCACCCTGACCGTGTTGGTGAGGCTCTTTCATCCCTYGTGGATGTCACTGGGGCAGTTTGGCAGAGCCCCAGGCTCTCTCAGTGAGCTCAGCTTGAGCAATAAACCAAGGATTGCTCTGTTGCTATATTTTTATTTGTTTTAAATGATAGTCACAAACCACTGTCAGGACTGTTACCCGCAGCTGTCTTGCAGGAATTCCAGGAGTTGTGGCCTCAGCTGTCCTTGATCATCGATGGAGGCCCCATAGGAGACATCCAGAGCCCAGAGTGTCGCTTGGGATCGACTGTGGTTGACTTRTCTGTGTCAGGGAAATTCTCCATCATCCGGCCTGGCTGGTGAGTGTACCTGGGGCTTTTCCTTTGCTTTAAATGAAACAAAGCTTTTSAATAGGGGTGGGTCATGCWTTGCTTTGCTTTGCATTGCTCTGCTTTGTTTGCTTTGCTTTGTGTCCCTCCCCAGAGCACTTCCACCTTCCCATTAATATTAACTTAATTACTAGAAAGAATAAAGAAATAAGAAATCCTCAAGAGCTCTCAAATTCCCCTTTCTCACAGCTTCTGTGTGAAACTGTAGTTTCTGGAAGTCATGTTCTTGGTTCTGAGTGCAGTCCTGTGCCTTGCTGATTGCTCCTCCCCAGCAAATGCATTTCAACACTCCAAGTCCCTTTTTCTGATGGCTCTGTTTCTCCCTGCAGTGCACTGACACCCACRGTTGAAATCCTGAAGAAGTATGGCTTGGTAGCAGAATCTTCCTAACCCTTGGGACTAGGAGCTGGTGGAGCTGGGCACTGTGTGCCTGTGCACTCAGGAGTGTGTGATTATGGCCTTGTTTAATAAGGTCGATGGGTTATATCAAGGTAAATAAAAAAAAAGTTTTAAAAAAACCCTAGAAAACCCTTTCTGACCTCTTTGTGTTGCTGTACCTTTCCCAAATGTGTGTTCTGTTATCCTGGTCAGGCTTTGTGAATACAGTGATTATGAAAATTAAACTACCCTACCCTAATGCCCTACCCATTTCTGAGTGCTCATTCCATGCCATCTGCACTTGAAGGAAAGCAAACATGGGATAGAGGGGTTTGGAGCTTTGAGGGTGTTACAGCTGTGGTGTTCTCTGTCTGCTGTTTTCTGTTCTAAACGTGATCAAAGCCTACTACTGAGATGAAACTGTCACTGCTTCTGAAAATTTGCAGTATTCAGATAACCTGGGCCAGAGCTGCTCAGAACAACCTGCTTCCACCTAATGCAGAGAATGAAACAAGCTCTTGKCATGATGATCTTCCTTCATTTAAATGTGGAATTCTCTCTTGATTTTGCTCTGAAGTGGTGATAAGCTGAAGTAAACAGGGAATGGATGAAAGTGTCCACTGGTGTTTATCATTCATGGAAAAGTGAAGTCACTGGGAAGTCAGGAGAGGGTGGGTTGGGCTGTGTAGCCAGGGTGCTGTATCTGAGTGGAATGGCTCTGCTGAGCTCCCTGTGCTGCCCATATGTGCAGTGAGTGGGGTTTGGGCTGGTTTGTTTCCTGCCTGCACCCAGCCCTTGCACAGCTATGCTGGGGTGATTTGTCTGTGTCTTGAGGGCCATGGAGAGGTTTTCTGTTGTTACTGCTCACGAGCAGCTCTCTCAGGCACTGCTAATGGATTGTACTCACACACAGCTGACCCCTGAGTCATCATTGCCTGTCTGGAGTTGCTGTAAAATTCCTGAAGCACCAGGCTGGATCAGTTACTGTCATTTGCAGATTGAGTGCATGAAGGGTCTGTGGCTGCTTCCTCTTTCCTGCATCTCTGTTCTTACCTCGCCTTTCCCAGTCAAGTATCCTGGAGGATGAAGGGGCTGAAGGAATCAGAGGGGACATTTCCTTTTGCTGTGCAGGAGCCCTTGTCCTGCCTGCCTAGGCAGGCACTGCTCTGAGCAGAGGCTCTGGGGTTGTAGATGGTACTGAGTGGGGCACAGTGGTYCCTCTGAGGGCTCTGCTGGGCAGTGGATCTGGGCAGTGGATCTYCACATCCCCCAGTTCACACCAGCAATGAGCAGAGCCAGAACCACTGCCCTGGTGCCCTCACATGGGGGGTGCAAAAGGCTGTTTGGGGGCTCACTGTAACCTCCACCACAGTGAGCAATTTTTCTGTTGGATTCGCACTGTGAGCAGCCCCCACCTTATTYCTCAGCTCATCAGCTATTCATTGATCCTTGCTGGGCTCCTCCAGCTCTCATCCATCACTCTCACACCTGCCATCCACTTTCCAAATGTTTCCTGTTTTCCCAGCCATGTATTTCCCTGCTCAGACAAGCTGATCCTGCAGCATCAATAACCGGGTGCAGMTGTGCCCTGCCCTCTGTGCTGGCACAGGCTCTGCCCCATGCCAGTGGAGCAGCTCAGCCACGGTGGCTGCTTGAACCTTGCAGCCTCCAGGAGCTGCTGCTGTGGCTGCAGGGGCTCTGCTGCAGCAGGTCCTTCTCCCCCTTAGGGGCTCTGAAATGTGCAGGTGGAGCTGGTGCCCTCACAGCCAGGAGGGGCTCATTCCCACTGCTGGGTGGGGAGTGATGGTTCCTCAGGTGAGGCACAGCCCCAAGGAAGGGCAGCCTTTCCTGAACAGGACTGGCTCTGGAGTGTGCTCTGGGATGCCCAGAACCCCATCTTGGTCACAACTGGAGTGGCATTTGTGAGCAGCCTTGGCAGGCAGAAAACTGGAGAAACACGTCACCAACTCAGCTGGTGCCTCTGCTCATGGCAGTGTTCAGTGTCCCTGCRAGTGACAGCTTTATTTGTACCACCACCATCAAGAGGATGAACCACACAACAGGCACGGGTGAAAAGGGCTGCTGCTGTCRTTCCCTTGCAGAAATTGCAGGCACTATAAATCCCTCTTTCCTCTGCCTTCTGGCTGTCTGCAGGGCACTGTGCTGTCAGCGTGATGTGCTCAGCACCAGCTGAAGTGACAAACCTGTGCATCAGCATCAGGGCACTGTCAGCACCTCTGGAACGCACCAGCATGAAGCAAAGCTGGGATTTGTTGCTTACTCAGGTGTCCTTGGTACTTCCCAAACTGGGACCCTGCTGCTACACTGAGTGACTGCAGAGTCCTGTGTGTTGTGAGCGAGGGATGTGGCAGTGGGATCTGAAACATGATGACATGTCTGCTGGGACACAGTGAAAAAACTCGCCAGCCCAGCCAGGACATGGGGATCAGCTTCTGCTAGAGCAGGGAGGTTCCTTGAGAGCTCTGGTAGGTTGGACTATAAACACCCTCATAAATCCACTCACAGGCCAGGGTGACCCTTGTGTTTGCAGCCTTATGGAAATCACGCTGGTGYGAGCACTCAGAGCAGGAGATACATGGTTTGCATTTTAATCAGCACTTGCCCTGCAAACAAAAACACATCTATAGAGCCTCTCTGGCACAGTCAGCTCAAACTCGTGGAGCAATGGTTAAAATGARCAACACCAGGCCAGGCTGCCTGGGCCAGGGCTGGTATTGGAGGTGAATCTGCTTTCCTTTACCATCACTGCAGGRTGAGAGAGATCTGTGATGCTTGCTGCTACTGCCCTCATTCCACTTCCCAATACTATGAAAACCAGACTTGGGCTAATTAAGCTAGAAGCACAAAATTGCAATTTGCAGCTGATGAAGTCTTTCAAACGATATTTATGTTAATCTTCTGATTGATTTTCTTGTAATGCCTTGACTAGGAGATAATCTGCTGCATGGGGAGATGCTTCCAGATGGAGCCCAGCCCACCCTGCCAGATGCTCAGTGAGGGTTTCTCAGCCCACAGCCAGGAAAGATGATCTTGTCTGTCTGGGCCAGGCCTGAATGCAGAGGGAATGCTGAGGTCCAGTTGTTGGTTTTGCTGCAGAGTGAGTCCATCTGTGTCAGGACAGGGCTGTCAAACAGTGCTTGGGAAGGGACACACACTGGAAAACCAATTCTTGGCTGGGGTGGTTCTGTCTCTCCTGCACCTCCCAGCCACTGCTTTGCTGTCACACGAGGAGGCTGCTGTGAAATGCTCCTTTGAGTTTATCCTTGCAGACATAACGGTCTRTTGCAAAAACCCAGTTTCCTTCTGCACACTGCCCTTGCATATCCACTTGGATTGTCCTCCAGCCCTTCTTCCAGCTCCAGTGTTGGCAGAGTGCCTGGCAGATTTGCACAGGATACTGATTTAAGGAATTAATCTGTAGAAGYGTAGATGATAGAGACAGAAGGGACCTTAAGGCCATCAGCATCCCCTCTTCCAGGTTACCCCAGGTACATTTGTAAGATTTGCTCTCAGCTCCCTTTTCTGGAGGAAGTTCTGCCTGGCTGCTCTTCTTCCTATTTTCCAGTTTCTCAAAAAAGTATTTCTTTGGACTGGAATTTTTCAGGGGTTTAAAGGTAACATGGTCTGCGTTCACCCACCTCTTCTCCATTTTTTCCCTTTTTCAGAATGGCTGTGGTTTCCATGTGTTGGGGATGGCTGCAGGGAGTCCCTGGGGTGGGGGTTCAAGGCAGCCCAGGTTGAGGTGGGGAAGTGCTGGGGTGCCATAGGATGTCACTGCTGCCAGAGCCATGAACAGCCCCTGCGTGCAGGGAGGACAGCTCCAGAGGTCAAGGGCTTTTAACTGTGGAATTGTTAAATTAACTATTAATTTAATTTTGATTAAGTTAGACCCTCTTTTTTTTTTTTTTTTTTTTTTTTTTTTTTTTTTTTTTTTTTAATTTTACCAGCAAATGATTCTCTGCATAATTAATGCTGGCTGAGACTGCTGATTCACWTGCTGCTKCGTAACAGAGCATTCASTTGCAGTCCAAACTGTGCTGGGCTCCAGGAGCAGTCCTGTAGGAAAGCCACACATGGCCCTGGGGAGCATTTTCGTCCCCAGGACAAGGAAAGCACTGGATCAGATCCTCCCTTGCAATGAAATATTCATTTTTATTGATGAGCCCACTCTGCCTGGGGTCTGGGGTGATGCTCCCCACTAACTCTGCCCACAGGAGCTGGGAATGGCCTGGCTGCAGCTCTGTCAAGTGCAAGTTCTTCATTACTCCATGATGCAGGCTGTCATCAGCCACAGCTTGATTAGATGAGATTTCTGAGGAATGAAGAGTTCCCAAGCTTGTGGCAGTTACCAGCCCAATGCAGGCAGAGGAGAATTTTCAGGTTTTTCTCCWTGGTGTATAATTGTATCCTCTAAACACCCTTCAAACACTGACAAGKCTTCCCAAGGTGTGGAGAGAGCACTTCCCTGCCTCCAGGAGTCTGAAGGCAAAAGAAATTATGAGTTCACAGGGATTTGGGGTTTTAATAATAAAACATCATCTTTTAAAACCTGCAGTGTGAGTGGCACAGTTGGTTTCATTATCCTGAGCTTGTTTGGCCAAAATCCTTTGCTGATTAGCAGCCATCCATTGCCCTGTGCTGTGTGCAGCTTTGGGGAGATGAGTGGTGGGGCAGGGATGAGRGATGGAGCAGGGATGGAGCAGGGATRGAGGYTGGACTGGGATGAGCTGTGCCCAGGACAAGCTGCTGTTAATTCCTTTGCATCTTAAARCTCTTTGAARATGWAAGCATGGCACAGTGCTGCATAGTCTTATCTCTGGCAGRGTCTGTCACCTGCAGATGTTTCTGGCATATTCAAGAGCATGGCAAAGGCTCATCCCTGCTGGGACTGAGTTCCTGGAGTGTGTCCCCTCYCCATATGGTGCTTTTCCAGTTGTCAGAGCAGTTGTGTGTGGTGAGAGGCACCATCAAGGTACTGCTGGAGCTGGGAACAGGCTGGTCCTTKCTGGTGAGAAGAGCATTCAGTGCAGAGTTTGCTCTACTCGTGCCCTCTGTGGTTAACACTCTGCAAATAACTTCTTGGCAAAGATTCCAATTAGGCCAGGACATCTCCCTGTAATCTGGATCCCTGTTGTGCTGTCAAACTCAATTCAAATTTAATTTGCTGAAGGTGTGTATCAGGCAGCTTTTTTCCTTAGCACAAAACWGAGGGGAAGATATCATTGATTGAAAAAATAATACAAGTTCATATTCTTCTTACCTTAAGGATGGAAAAGAGATGCCAGAAAACTTGGCCAAATTTACATTTTAATGGGAAATGTTCTGACTGCCTGCTCCGACAAACACAAATTGCTATCCAGATGGGACCCTCACTTTGTACCAAAGTGCAGGGAATTAAATCCAGCAGTCTCTGATGAGATGAAAGGGATATCTGGAGCCTCAACCCCCACACCAGCCAGTGGCAAGGACAAGGTTGTCCTGTTGAGACTGGGGGCACAGGCAGCTGCTGGGACTGATGGACACTGCTCCAGGCTCCAGGGGCTGCAGGTGTCATTCTGGGGGGTGGGGGGCTGTTTGCTATGTTACCTT